GTTTTCGAAAATGACTAGGAGAACACGGTTTCACCGTTTTGAAAAATCGAAAACAGAAAATGTCTTGAAAACAGTATAGAGAATGCCCCCTAAGATTCAATCTTTCACTCTCTAAAAAGCCCTAGAATCAAGGTAATATTAAGAACCATCCCTCTAGGAAATTCGAACATTCTCCTGCCGAAGGGCAATTTCCGGCTACAGTTGGCTCCTAAACATAACCAAAAACCTCAAAAAGGAGTAAAACCCTGCAGAAATTACGACAAAAAACTTGACAATTGGCGTTTTAAAAACAATTTCAACTAGAAATCAAGATTGCTATTGTAACTCTAGAATTCATAATCCTAAGGCTATTTCTACAAGATGGATTCTGTAATTTATGAAGTGGACTATGAAGAAACATGCATGAAAGGGCCTTATTCATAATAATAAGTTATATTAATTAATCTCAACATTTGAGCTCTTAAGTACTTTACAATTGATTTTCTGTTCCAAACTTGAAATGATTTATGTTACGGTACAGGAATCAGTTTATAGACGGGAATAAACTGAGCTGAACTCTTAGCCCATGTTTGATAGAGATTATTTGAGAATAATTTTTGTGAAAAGTGATTTTTCAAAAAAGAGAAATTGGAGTTAAAAATAAGAAAAAAAATTATAAATCCATGTGTAAAATTTTTTTTTTTTAAATAAGAAAGTGTATATTGGTAAAGCAATTGAGGACTTGTTTGAGTCCCATTTTTGTCAAAAAAAAAAAAATGTATTTTAAATTTACGTGTAATATTATTTTATTGAAAAATGAGTGATTGAAATGAAGTTAAAATATTATTTAAGAATGCTTTTTTTTTTCCCAAAAAATGGGACTCAAACAAGTACCGAATCTGGAGTGGATTTGATGTGATAAAGCTGTGAGAAGATCAGTTTTCTCTTTTTGTAAGGTAGCTTCTCACATGCATTGGTAGATCCCACTTTGAAACACAGCACGCCACATGTCTTGGTAAAGATGGTGCCGCTCATCACGCCAATAAATACTCCAATATCATCCACTAGTTTTGTCTATGCCATGGTTTCCAATACTTACTCACCCTGGTGGACAAGATCCATCCTTGGACATTAGGACGTTACTACATGTACATCAAAATTTATTCTGTCATTAGTCAATTTAAAATACAATCAATTTTTTCATTCAATCTTTTCTCTCTACATCATATTATGTAATTCATTATGTATAATTTTTTATATACAAAGTAACAAAATTTGGGACATTAAGAGCCTGCTGGAGAGTTTTGGGTACTGATTATTAGGGTTTTTTTAAATTATCGATTTTGAGCGTTCATGAGCGTACCCGTTTTGAGTAATTTTAGTAGCGATTTTTAAAACGGTATAATCTATACTTGAGACTTTATTATCCACCGGTTCTGATTTTTTTTTTTTCAAAATAAACTTACATATATGCCCTAAAATTTTTATTTTATATTTTACTTATAGACAATTTTTTTACATATAAGTTGATATATAAGTTAAATAAAGTTAAATATTTATTTAAAATTTTAAGTTATTATTATTTACTTACAAATTATTAAAAGAACTTTTCAATTATAAGTTAATTTTGTATTTTAAATAGTTTTTAAGTAAATTTTTTCTTATTAGTAATATTTTTATTTTATAAACATTTTTTTACTCAAAAGTGATTTTTATCTTATAAGTAATATTTTACTTATAAATAATTTTTAATTATAATGTAATTTGTTGCCTATAAATAATTTTATTAGTTAATATCTTTTTACTTACAAATTAATTTTGAACAAAATATGTTGTTTGGAAATAATTATTTTATAAATAGTAAAATTAAAAAAGAATATGAAAAACGACCAAAAATCATCGATTTGATAGGTGAATAGAATTTGTCAAAATTATATTACATCGATTAATTTTAAAAAAATGAATTTAGAAAATAGGGATCAAAGAAAAGGTTTATTTTGTTCCACATTTAATAATGCGTCTAAGACATTGCAAGAAATTGGTAGATCATTGCATAATTTGTTCGAGAAAAGTCATTAAACTTTTATTCGATATCTTATGCTTAGAGTGCCATGTGTATCCACAGAAAACCATTGCTAACTTGCTGCTCGAGCGGCCGTCGTGCTTGAGATAACATATAATGCAAGCGAGAAATTGCTTGTTTCTTTGCTAGATTATCTCTCTATCATCTTTAAATTGTCGACTACTGACCCTAATCTCTCTCACTTTAATGATACTGAAAAAAACCAAAATCATTGCAGAATTCACAACAGATTGTTAATTACAATTTTTGAGCTCATAAAATTTCCATTTGGTAAAGCAATTGAGGACTTGTTTGAGTCCCATTTTTGTCAAAAAAAAAAAAAAAAAAGTATTTTAGATTTACGTGTAATATTATTTTATTGAAAAATGTGTGATTGAAATGAAGTAAAAATATTATTTAAGAATGGTTTTTTTTTTTTTTTNTGATTGAAATGAAGTTAAAATATTATTTAAGAATGCTTTTTTTTTTTCCAAAAAATGGGACTCAAACAAGTACCGAATCTGGAGTGGATTTGATGTGATAAAGCTGTGAGAAGATCAATTTTCTCTTTTTGTAAGGTAGCTTCTCACATGCATTGGTAGATCCCACTTTGAAACACAGCACGCCACATGTCTTGGTAAAGATGGTGCCGCTCATCACGCCAATAAATACTCCAATATCATCCATTAGTTTTGTCTATGCCATGGTTTCCAATACTTACTCACCCTGGTGGACAAGATCCATCCTTGGACATTAGGATGTTACTACATGTACATCAAAATTTATTTTATTATTAGTCAATTTAAAATACAATCAATTTTTTCATTCAATCTTTTCTCTCTACATCATATTATGTAATTCATTATGTATAATTTTTTATATACAAGTAACAAAATTTGGGACATTAAGAGCCTGCTTGAGAGTTTTGGGTACCGATTATGAGGGTTTTTTAAATTATCGATTTTGAGTGTTCATGAGCGTACCCGTTTTGAGTAATTTTAGTAGCAATTTTTAAAACGGTATAATCTATACTTTGGACTTTATTATCCACCGGTTCTGATTTTTTTTTTTTTTCAAAATAAACTTACATATATGCCCTAAAATTTTCATTTTATATTTTACTTATAGACAATTTTTTTTACATATAAGTGGATATATAAGTTAAATAAAGTTAAATATTTATTTAAAATTTTAAGTTATTATTATTTAATTACAAATTATTAAAAGAACTTTTCAATCATAAGTTAATTTTGTATTTTAAATAATTTTTAAGTAAATTTTATTTTATAAGTTAATTTTTTCTTATTAGTAATATTTTTATTTTATAAATATTTTTTTTACTTAAAAGTGATTTTTATCTTGTAAGTAATATTTTACTTATAAATAATTTTTAATTATAATGTAATTTGTTGCCTATAAATTAATATCTTTTTACTTACAAATTAATTTTGAACAAAATATGTTTGGAAATAATTATTTTATAAATAGTAAAATTAAAAAAGAATATGAAAAACGACCAAAAATCAGCGATTTGATAGGTGAAGAGAAATTGTCAAAATTATATTACATCGATTTGGGTAATTTTTAAATTATCCAAAATCAGCGTTCCAAAAAATCAGCAAACACCGATTTTTTTAACCCTTCATAAACGGTGCAATCCAAAATCGATGAAAAAAATTCCCGAGCAGGCCCTAAGGTTAGAAATAAATGTTGCTATAAAGGTGTAAAATGAGTTGAGATGTCTTTGAGACATATTTAGTTTAGTTTAACTTTAACACGTTTTGATAGTTCTGTAATGAGCTGAAAAGAATGATATATCTACTCAAGCTAGTTCAAAAAAAACTTTTTCACACTTATTTGGGATATCTTCTGGATACCTCTCGAACAGTGCCATGTATGGACTTTACATAGGCCGTGTCTGGCTCTTTTCTTCGTACTCAATCTCCGGTGTCAAAACTCTCCTAAGATAGATTGATTTTCCCAACTTTTTTTCTACTCGAACTATTACAAATGCTAGTTATTTATATATATCCAATAAAATTTTAGAGAGAGATGTACAATTCAACTCTAGCCAACTAAAAAATCCACATTATATATACTTCACTCCGATATATGATGTTAAGAGTCTGTTTGGTGCATATTAAAATCGAAAGAATACATTTTTTTTGTGATGTGATGGTAAATATATAGTTGAAAAAAAAGGAAAAATTATTGATGTGATGAAAAATATTATTTTATTGAAGAATGTGTGGTTGAAAATGAGTAGAATAATGAGAATGTGGCTCAAACAGGGACTAAGTTTAATATTTTGTTTATTAGTTGCAGTGTCTAAGCCTGAATATGTAATTAATGTGTGGACTATGCTTTCAGCATGGAATCAATCTTTTTGGGAAAAGAAAAATGCAATGGATTTTTTCTGTTTTTTTTTTTTATCTTCCAAGCCTTGAATATGAAGTATTTGTAATACTAGAATTAAGAAGGGAAGGGCATGGCAGTACTATATTCACGTGGGTTTTTATGACCCACCGGCCACTTCTATAAACTTGTGACGAGTGGTTGTGCCTTATGCTTTAAATGTGGATGAGGACACCCAAAATCCTAAACAAACTATTTCTATGTAAGTGCTTAACCAAAACCTTAAAATTCACAATGCTTTAGACAGTTTGACATGCAAAGAATTGAGATCTTGTGGTCACAAACTTGCTATCCTCTTCCGCGTCTCATATTCGCCACACTGACATATCATTTTTCTTAGTAAATGGAAAGTTATTGTAGTGTAATGTGTCGAAATGTTCAGCGTGTTTTTATTTGGTAAGATATATTGAGGTGTCAAAAATATATTAGAGAAAGATAGTTCGAATAATTCCCGTTTACATTGAATTGACATTAAAGGAAGAGGGTGATTGCGTGAATGGCTTGTGAGGCGATATACATAAGTTAGTGTGACAATGTGACGGTAGAAATGAAAATCGAATAAAGTTAATGGAGCCAATTACTCATTCTTTTTTGCTTTATTGCTTTATTGCCGTGTTCAATGGAATCCCACTATTGAATCTTTACATTTTTTGTTTCTTTTCTTTTCAAAAATTGCTATCATCAAGCATCAACTATTAAAGTAGGTTACTTCAATTACCTTTATGCCCACGTACAGCTTACAGAGGGTGAAATTGTGCATTTCATGGATCGTCGGTGCATCCTTTGTTATATTTTATGTTTGGCATAGATTATAAATACGTAGAAGTATGCAGTTTTACTTAGGTTTGAATAAGTCACTTTTTAATTAAAAAAAAATCGATTATACTTATCAACAAAAATGTTTATATTGTCACTTTTTAATAAAAAAATCGATCGTACTTATCAACAAAAATGCTTATATTACTCTCAAACTAGATTTTGCTACTTGTATGTAAATCCATCAAGGCATGTTATATATTTTTTGTTTGGTGAGGATTAAAATCAGATTTTTAGTGAATTTTAATAAAAGTTGATAAAATGTATAGTTAAAAAATTGAGTTGCATGAATATGCTATTAAAATTAATTATTAAATCTATCAAACATGAACATTATCTTAGAATTACTTTTGAGTAACTTTTATGTAGTTGATTTTCCTTAATAGTTTAGGTCTAGGACAAAACTTGCAGAGCCCCACATTCTTCTTCTGCTCCGCTTTTAAAACCCTCCATTTCTGCCTTAAAAGATTACATAAAAAAAAAAAAAAAAGATGAAGCATTTGGCAGTGGCACTAGTTCTGTTTCTTTTTGTGTATCAAAAATGCTGTGCAGGTGCAGGAGATGGGTTCATAAGAACCAGAGGAATCCATTTCATGTTAAATGGCAGTCCTTTTTATGCAAATGGATTCAATGCTTATTGGCTAATGTATGTGGCTTCTGATCCTTCTCAGAGACACAAAGTCTCCACTGCATTTCAACAAGCTTCAAGCCATGGCCTCACTGTTGCAAGAACTTGGGCTTTCAGTGATGGTGGATATAAACCTTTACAGTATGCTCCTGGCTCTTATAATGAGCAAATGTTCAAGGTTCGTTTGTCTCGTACTCTAAACTTTCTCTCATATTAATTTCTTGTTTTAACTAATAATTACCTTTTTTTCTTCTTCAAGGGGTTGGATTTTGTCATAGCTGAAGCTAGAAGATATGGGATTAAGCTTGTATTAAGCTTGGCAAATAATTATGAAAGCTTTGGGGGAAAGAAACAGTATGTAAACTGGGCTAGAAGTGCGGGGCAGTATCTGACTTCTGATGATGATTTCTTCAGAAATTCTGTGGTTAAGGGATATTACAAGAACCATATCAGGGTAAGAGACAAAAAAACATTGCAATTTCCCTTTTGCTTGTATAATAATAACCTCTGGTAAATTCTGCAGACAGTTCTTAACAGATTCAACAAATTTACTGGAAAACTTTACAAGAATGACCCAACAATTATGGCCTGGGAGCTGATGAATGAACCAAGATGTACCTCAGATCCATCAGGAAGAACCATTCAGGTCCTCATCAGGCCTTCATCTTTGATGTTGATTTTGAATTTCTACATGGAAATTTCATTATTAACTTTATTTGTATAGTCCTTTTGTGGGGTGTTTGAATTTTTCTTCTTTTTCTTTATAAAAGAGGAAAGAATTAGGTGTTTACCATTAATCCGGAAATTAACTTGGCCATAATATTTATGTAAATTTGTACGAAGGACCACTCGTGAAGTTTATGCATGTGCCTCAACTACTCTTAGGCCTTAGCCCACATTACTTTTTGGAGAGAAATAAATGGCATCTGCTACTAATTGTTGGCACATTTATGCTCCATTTAATTAAAATTGTTGAATAATTATGTTATTTTGACAGGCCTGGATAATGGAAATGGCCTCTCATGTGAAGTCCATAGACAGAGCTCACATGCTGGAAGCTGGTTTAGAAGGATTCTATGGACAATCATCCCCTCATAGATTGAATCTTAATCCTAGTTTTAACATAGGAACCGATTTCATTGCAAATAATCGAATTCCCGGGATCGATTTCGCCACAGTTCACTCCTATCCAGATCAATGGTAACTCCTAAATTAATGATATTTGATGTACAATATTGAATAGACTGAACAGTTCAATTAAAAGTAATGTTCTTTGATTTTTGTCGTATGATCAGGCTATCAAGCTCAAACAATGAGAATCAACTTTCTTTTCTTAACAATTGGCTAGATGGACACATTCAAGATGCTCAATTTGTTCTCAACAAGCCTCTACTCATTACAGAATTTGGAAAATCTTTGAAAGATCCTGGCTTCACTCCCTACCAAAGAGACATGTTATTCAACACTGTATACTTCAAGATTTACGCATCTGCCAAGCGGGGTGGAGCAGCTGCCGGTGGTCTCTTCTGGCAGCTTCTTACCGAGGGCATGGACTCTTTTCGGGATGGATACGAAATAGTCCTCAGTGAGAATTCCTCGACTGCAAATGTGATATCTCAACAAGCTCATAAACTCTATCAAATTCGGAAAATATTTGCAAGGATGAGAAATTTGGAAATGTGGAGGAGGGCAAGAAGGGATCAAAGGATGGCTAGAAATAGAGGGAAGCCTATTGGAAAATGATGGGAAACTTGTCTCTCTTAGAGATGGATGGTGTCATGGTGTTCATCCAAGAGGGTGCGGCTAGCAAGGTTTAATAGATGATCAATATACTACGATATTTGAAGTTAAGAAAGTTTTTAGAGTTCATTCTGATCTTATACAATTATCACTTATATTTGAATGTAATGAAGTTTGTTAAGCATGAATTGAATTTTATCATACATTATTTAAGTAAAACAGAGCTTTAATTTTCGAGAACACTATATATGTACGTATGAAATTATATTTCGTATTTTACATATCCATACGATTGAATTTGTATGACTCGTGTCTTACAAAAATTAATTTTAATTACATATTTCATGGTATTTACAATTTTTCAACCACACATTTCATCAATTATTATCAAAATCAAATAAAATTTTGATTTCAATCCCCACCAAATAAAGGCTATATGTTTTTATATCCCACCATTCATAATTTAATAAAACTCGTGCATATTTAAGATTTTCAATGAAAAAGTACTGTTGATAATGTGGAAACTAAATAGATTTCAATTTATGAAATATTATATAACTTCTAAAGATCATAGTCATGTCATCACAATATTTTCTCATGATTAAAAATTACAATTATTTCGTGAATTTAGAAATTATTTTGCTAATTGCAAGTCTAGTCGTGTAGTATCTTATTTCTTATATTATTAAAAATAAGAACTTTTATGTGATTACTTTTAAAAGAGTAATGTTATTCAAATCCATAAGAGTCGTGTAGTATCTTATTTCTTATGCTATTCAAAATAAGAACTTTTATGTGATTACTTTTAAAAGAGTAATGTTATTCTCATCCACAAGTACTACCAATTTATTCATCACTAATATCTATTTAAATTTTAAATCGTTCATAAACATTTATACACTGAAAAAAAAGTTACACATTGCTTGCTTGCGTATTCAAACCGTTATCCATCGATCAATATAACGAAATTCGTTACTCCCACCTGATGGAAATGCCTCCGTGTTCAATGTGACACGCTTACCTCGTTAACCACCTCGGATTAAAACACATCACATTCCTGGTCATTAAACTTTTGGATGATTCTGATTGAGATTTTTTTTAGGTGATTGTAGTTAACTGTGTAGTTTTTATACTTATTCGAGACGTTAAATCATGATATTTTATTGTCTTTTGAATAAATTTCTGCCTAATTTATGTTATATTTTGTTATGTAGGTAAAACTCTATAGTTAATGAAGAAATGAAGAAAAGAATGTAAAATAGCGGAAAAATGAAAAAATTCATAGTACGAAGACTTGGAAGCAAGCAATTAATTGGGCCTCAATTTGGACTTCTAATTGAATACAAAATTTGGCTACTTGAAATTAAATATATAGACAGATAATATTGGGCTGAAATCTAGAAAAGAGGCTTGTTTGCTTTGAGACAGCAGCCATTGAAAGAAAGAAAAAAAAAGAACAAAAGAAGTGGCCGACAGCTTGAGTAGAGAAAGTGGGGAGAATTGGATATATATATATATATTCAACACACAGAAGCTAATTGGGAAGAAAACAGGGGCTGAATTCTGCAAATTATATATACACATAAACGAAGCAGCTTTAGGAGAAAACAAAGAGAAAGAAAAAGAAAAGGAGGAGGAAAAGAAAAGTCCAACTTTACGGCTGAAATTGTAAAAACAAAGGCTGTTGTTTTCAAATATATACATACTGCTTTTGTAGAGGAAAAAAAGAAGGGCTGAATCATTATTTAGTCCACCTCTTCACGCACACGCAGAGAGAAGAAATTGATTGAAGCTGGAGCAATAACTTGGGAAATCAATCATGTTTCGTCAATTTTTGGTTATGTCTTTCCACTTTTACGTGTTTAATTTCAACGTCATGAGTGACTAAATACTTTTATTGTTTGGATTGATGATTTAGTTTAAGATTTTTATTATATGTTTAATTTCAAGATTTTCATGCCATTTTAATACTTGTTAATTAATTATTGCGTATTTAATGCTTTAATTGTTTGGCAACAATTAATTGATTTAGGGATAATACTGAAGTCGAGAGGTGATATATAATTCTAACTCCTGCAATAATTAACATAACCATTATAAGAGATTGCGAGATAATTATAAGCTATGCGATTTTTGTTGAATTCCTATAGATAAATGTGTCATATGTGTGTGAATTTTTATAGAGATATAATAAGTTCGGGCATATAAATATGATTAGTGTTGCTCGAGAGAGATCACTAAATACAATAGGTTAATTCAATCGTTGGCACGTATAAAAATGGTTGATTAAATTGAAATTAAATGTATGATAAATAACCTAAGTGAAATTGAAAATCCTATCTATCAATTCACATAATCTTTTCTACATTTTAAATTTGAGTTTGTTATTTTATTTATTAAATTTTATCTTAGAAAACAAAACTTGATTTGATCATTAGTTACTATTTTAATTTAAATTGAAGTTGGATTAGTTTAAAAATTTATAGTAGATAGTAGTCTCTATGAGACGATATTCGGAGTTAATAGATCCACTTTATTACTTGTTACGATCCGTATACTTGCAGAATTTCACGAACAAGTTTTTGGCGCCGTTGCCTGAGACTAGTTTATTTGCTTTAAATTTTTAATTAATTCTATTTTTTATTTAAATTTTTTTTTGCTTTTGTTTTCATTTTCGTTGCAAGTGTTCTTGCATGCGAAGTTCGAGAGTTGGTAATCTAGTACCCTTTGATCCAAAAATCGAACGCATTTTTAACTTGAGAATTAGGTAACAACGAGAGAAGATCAAAGCATAACAGAATAGAGAAATGCAACCGGCACATGTTGAACAACCATTCGAAAT